CATAGCTTTACTCAATGACGTACGTTTTACTTATGAGTACATATACATGTAGAGACTATATCTTATGTTCAAAATAAAAGCATCGTTCTCTTCACTTAATGTTTATTATAGAATTATGATGATAACTTAACAAAACATATATACAACACACTACGATTTAACAAATATAATTAGTAAGGACAACACATTATTCTCTGTTCATTGTTACTCACTCGTTTTTACACACTGAAAAAATAACAAAACACACTCAATAAAATAGAGAAATAAAATATCACGGCGCCACTATGTGCCAGTAACTTTTTACCTTTTTAGTGGCGCCCTCTGACGTAAAATAATCGAATTACGCTTAGACATCCCGCCCACCAAAGGACGTAGTCCTTTCAAACTCTATACAAACTCAAAATCTCTTACACCGAATACTGAACACTGCTACCGCCCACCATGGCAATCTATGCTTAAGTAACAATAACACATTAAATTATTAAAGACAAAACTCGACTCTATATAAGAAGAAATATGAATGATAAGATAGCACTAAACTCTATACAATAAGAAAGATGAATGGTAAAATAACTCTAGACTCTATATAAAAGAAATAATTGAAAGAAAATTAAAACACACGTACACACAATGAAATTAAGAATTTACACTACTCCGTATTTGGATTAACACTCAGGTAGGACAAGGATGGTGAATTAAGAAAAGATTTGATTTGCCTCAAGATCATCATTAGCTCTTCAAAGGTAAGTGTAGAATCTCCGATTACACTTTTCAGATGCACTATTGTTGTGCGAACACCAGCTTCAATAAATACTCCTCCGAAGTTCGGTTCGTGCGGAGGATGGTACCTCCATGATGTTTCCTCGTCTGCTAGAAGATGCTGAAGTTCCTCAGGTAATTTAGCTTTAGCTCGGTCAGACATTTCTCCTAGTTCTCTAGACGCGTTGTCAGCCGCGTTCTGGTGTATAGCCACGTGTCTCCACTGCTCTCGTTCCAGCTTGGTAAGTATCTCAGATGTTCTATTGCGTAACCATCTCGGTATGAAGATCTTCTCCAATTTTAGTAAGTCCTCTATGAATTGTTGCCACTCGTGTAATAGTTGCGGGGTGATCTTCTCATCCCATGATAATTTTATTCTCCACAGGTTTTGTTTAAAACTCCTCGCTCTGACGCCAATTGATGCTATGCAGCTCATTGGGTTGTAAAGACGCGCTATTTCAGACAGCTTTCTTTTAGTTACATCCTCTCGATTCACCTCATTTTTAGGTAGTCGCAAGTGATACTCAAATTCATCGTTGGTCTTGTTCCAGGTAATATCTAATGTCTTGATGTTATTATTATACTTGAAATGTAATAACTGATTATCTCTTTGATTCTTTTTACAGATTTGTTTCACTTCGCTGTTGCTGCACCATTTTCGACGTTCAAAACCACCTGCTCTCATTAAAGTATTCATTTGATGATAGTTATCTATAGTTTGCTCTGTGGTTTTACATCCGGTAAGTAAATCGTCCATATAGTAATCTTGTAGTGTAATTTGTGCTGCTAAGGGATAATCTGGTTGCTCATCTCTTAATAGTTGTTGCAGACACTTCACAGCTAAGTAAGGTGCACAAGATGTTCCAAGGGTAAGTCTCAGTAGTTGGTAATGTTGAAGAGGTTCTTCTGTATTTGATCTCCACAGTATCCTTTGGAAATCTGTGTCTTGCTCGATGACAACTTGACGATACATTTTAAGTAACTCTGCAACGATACAAATTCTATGGTATCTCCATCTCATTAGAATATTACGTAGATCACTCTGTAATGTAGGTCCGACGAGAATATTGTCATTTAAAGACACGTCGTTCTCTCCTTTGCTCGATGCGTCGAACTCCACTCTTACTTGTGTAGTCTGTTTTACCTCTCTGATCACTCCTTGGTATGGCAGATAAACGTCGTAAGCATCTCGTAAGTCTCCCTCCTCAGTTGTTACTTCGTAAGTTTCTGTGTATCGCATTTTCTCTCTCGTCTTTCTCTTTTTGATACTTGCAGGCTCTCTTTCTATCTTCCAAAATTGTTTTAAAAGCTCTTCTTCCTTTACTTGTATATGCATGCTGATAATATTGCGATTTTCTTGTACTAACTCATTTTTGATTTTTCCAGATAATGTCCAGCCCAATTGCGTATTTTGTGCAACTAGTCCAGATGATTTCGAATGTTTCAGAAGACCATCTAGTAGAATTTCTCCGTAGACTTCAGCACCCAGAATAATATCAATCCGTCCAGGTGTACTGTAGGTAGGGTCAGCCAAAGGTAAGTTCGTGATCTCTGGCCAATCATGTATAGATGAGTCTCTGGATGGTATAAACGAAGTTAATCTCTTCAACACGAATGCATTGACTTGGATGGAAAACTCAGGATTGTGTAAAGACAAGATCTCAAAAGAAGCCATACTCTTTGTTTGTGTTTGACCTTCTCCGACTCCTGATATAAGACTGTTCACTGAAACTCGCTTTAACTTCAGGACTTGTGTTGTGGCTTCTGTTATGAATGATGCTTCAGATCCTTGGTCAATCAAAGCTCGAACGATTTGTATGTGACCCGTAGGTGATTTGATTTTGACCATAGCTGTGGCCAGTAATACTCTGCTCAGGTGACTCTCATTAGTAAAATGTGCTACAATTTTTCTCTCAGGTTGTTTGCTCCTCTCTCGAACTTCAGTTGAAATATTTTCATGACCTGAAGGTTTCTCTGCAGTTGATCTCTCTTCACGGTTAGATGTTCTCTCATAATGCAGTAGTGTATGATGTCGTCGAGCACAACGACGACAGCTCGTAGTTGAATAGCAACTCCTCACGCTATGATTAGGTGATAAGCAATTGAAGCACAAATGATTTGATTGCACGTACTCAGTTCTCTTCTCTGGAGTTTGTGCTGCAAATTGCTTACACTGATATAATAAGTGTTGTCCTGAACACATTACACAGGTGTACTCTCTCTTCTCCTCTTCTACTGATGAATGAAATGATCTCTGTTTTGTAGTTTGTCTCGTAGTGTTGTTGTATTGTGTTGTGTTAGCTGCTTTACAGTTGTAATGATTTGATGACTCCAACATCTCTAATGTTCTAAATCTCGTCTCGATAAATCTCTTCAGCTCCTCCCAGGTAGGTAAAGAATCTGCTTCACCGTCTGAATGTACTCGGCTCACCTCTAACTCCCATAGCTTTCTTGTCTCTGCATCTACTCTTGTGACTACCAAATAAATTATGATAGCGTCCCATGCACTCGTATCTATTTCCAAATTTTGTAATGATTTCAAACAGGATGATGTTGTATCTAAAAGTTGTTTTAAAGCAGCGGGCGACTCACTTGTTACATTCTTCTGGGAAAATAAACGTTTCGTAACTTCATTAGTATTAAAGCGCTTATTGTTGTATCGTCGAACCAGCTGGCTCCACGCCTCGTTATAATTTACATCTGTTGTTGATAGATTTTTAAGTAGAATTTCAGCTTCTCCAGATAAGCAGCTCTTCAAATAATGTAGTTTTTGAGCAGCGGTTAGTGTAGCATTTGTATGAATTAACGACACAAACATATCATAGAAAGTTTGCCAATTTTCGTATCCACAAGAAAATTTTGGCAAATGAATTGTTGGTAATCTCACGTCACTAGATGTCGCCACAGTATTGGTTTGGTTATTAGATGCGCTCACAAATGAAGTCGGCTGGTATAACTGTAGATCATCTTTTAATTTGATTTTGTAGGTCTCGTAAATATCCTCAAACTCTGAATACATATCTTCGGCAAAATAGCTAAGTTTAGATTTCTCAGACTTGTCTACAGAGGCAACAATCTCGTTATGAATACTCAAGAATGACTCCCACAGTTTATCTAACGCCTCTATTTTCGTTTCAATATAATTCACAGTAAGCCGATCTTTGGGCGATTTTTTGTAATTAATTTGCGCCTTACTAACCCGCTCAAATAACTCCTCTTGACGTCGCAGACACACTTTCAATGCTTCAGGCATTTTAAATGTTCAATGTTCTCGTAACACAATCACAATATTAATATATTCACTTTAGTTCAATTATTCTTCTCCCGGGTTTCGGCACCAAACTTTTGTTCAAAATAAAAGCATCGTTCTCTTCACTTAATGTTTATTATAGAATTATGATGATAACTTAACAAAACATATATACAACACACTACGATTTAACAAATATAATTAGTAAGGACAACACATTATTCTCTGTTCATTGTTACTCACTCGTTTTTACACACTGAAAAAATAACAAAACACACTCAATAAAATAGAGAAATAAAATATCACGGCGCCACTATGTGCCAGTAACTTTTTACCTTTTTAGTGGCGCCCTCTGACGTAAAATAATCGAATTACGCTTAGACATCTTACTTAACTCGCCTGTCCCTCGTTTACCCTAAACTAGGTATTGCATATAAATACCAAAAGTAAGACTCGAGAATATTATAATGTATGCTAACAACTAGCGCTGAACAACGAGTAGGTAACGAAAGTGGTAATTCAGCTGGAGGAGCGGCCGGTGGAGAGCGCGACGGTGGCGCGCGCGCTACCCCCGGTGGGCACGCCGCACGCCGCGCACGACCCCGCTCAGACCGATATCGTTCAGATACTTGCCAAGATCAAGGGCAGGGTATGTCGCTAAGTTATCACTCATAATTGACATCTGGAGATGCGCACAAGAAAAAAATACTATATATGCAAAATACGATGTGCAGATGGTACGAGAAGGTCTTCGGCCGCGCGACTACCTGCGGCAGTTCGACAAGCACAACGAGCTGGTGATCGCGCGGCCGGACTTCTACCGCGGCATGGCCTCCGCAGGGTTCGTGCTCACGCCGCTAGAGATGGACACCGTTATGGACGTGTAAGTACAAACATTTTACACCAAGCGGCACACAATTAACATATCTTTTTTTAAAACGGTGAGAGTGGTTGCAGATTCTGTGCCCCCACGCGGCGACGTTACATCGACTACGACCGCTTCTGCCGCACGGTGGGCGAGGCGCTGGCGCAGGAGGGGTTGGAGCGCGCGCCGCTGCTGCAGCCGGTGCCTCACGCGCCGCCACCGCCAACCAACAACTTCCTTAACTTTGAGGAGCGCAGTATAGTCTCCAAGGCCCTCGACAAGCTCTCCAAGCACCACGACCAAGTTTCGAACATATTCGAAATCTTCAAGGTATCATCTACTATTCGTTTTAAAAATGTATTGCCGAAGAAGTAGGCGATACTAGTATACATAGGATTGTACACTGAGGAAATGGTATCGGGTGGCATGACATGACATAAGAGATGGTGTGGCAGGAGGCGGACCGCGAGCAGTGCGGTAGTGTGCCGCAGGTGGCGGTGCAGCGCGCGCTCAGCCGGCGCGGCGTGCTGGCGCTGCTGTCGGCGCGCGAGCTGCAGCTCATCTGCAAGTGCTTCGGCTACCGGCGTGGCTGCGGCGACGAGGTCTGATCTTCCCAATCATACTCATGGAGTTTTACACACATATATATATATATATATATATATATATATATATATATATATATATATATATATATATA